TGTAAATAACAATCAATAATAATCAGAATCATTAAACGAATCCGAAAATAAAAATAATAATTAAATTAACTTTTAGGCGGCAGCTTTTTGAGCTATAAAAACCAGAAAATAATATTAATTAATAAGTTTTAAAATAACAAAAGGCAAAATAAAATCGTTTAATACCTAATGTGATTTTATCACCAAGACTTAGCGCAATACCCTGTGTCTTACTTCGAATTCTAACGTGACCGGTAATGGTTCCATCAGCTTGTTTTTCGATACTAAGATTAGCTAAAGCATCTTCGCCTATTAAATAAAGATTATAATTAATATTTACCTAATTTGAATCGAATTTCGCAAGTTATAAGCAATTTGTCCTTACCAAAAATACTCCTTGCATACATGTTAGCAGAGAGAAAACCGCAATCTCCCGATAATGCAGCTTCTGGGGTTAAACAACTCATATTTGTCGATTTCATAATATGTCCAAGATATTCTCTTAGATCTCTAAGAAAATAAATACAAGAAATAAATGAGTCTTTTTTCAAGTAATAACAATTACTTTGATTATTAACTTACGTGATATTAGTATTAACATTAACTTTATTCTCCCATTCAAATTCTGTCCACATACTACGGAACTGAAAATTAAAATAACAATTGTAATTTAATTAAAAATTTTAACAACAAAAGCGTGTAATAATTCACACAATTTACCTGAGTTTCATTACAGTATGCTGGATTTATATAATCCATAATATCAATATGGATATCATTAAGTACCACGCAATTACTCTCCGAAGTTCCAGGTCCATCATAAACAATGTTACCAAAAATTACACCTGTTTCCGTGGATGAAACCTATAAATATTATATCATCAGCATTACGTAAATATATATAAATATTTCGAAATTTGTACAAAAGAAATTTACTTTAATTGTGGCTTTCACACTATGAAAACTGTGAGGTGCAAGATTATGATGTGTAGGTCTCTCAACCAATTTTAAATCGCCCAAAGTGGCGAATTCTATTGATAAGTTCTGGAGTGTTTCGCTTGTTTGATTAACAATTAATACATCTATTTTAATTTTATAATTAGTTGATAGATTTCTTCAAAAAAAGATAATTAATTCATAAGTTTATAACTTCTTACCCAAGAGAATATCATATTGATGAACGTTAACATAGGCTTCTGCATATACGGGATCGGAAAATCCTAATCAAACAATAAATTTTGTTAATAATTAATTGTAATGAATTTCTATAATAAAAAAAAATTTTTTTTTGTACCGGTAAGTTGGATTACGCGACTAAGTTTCGAAATTAAATCATCACGTGAATCGGATTGACCAGTCGCACGAGTCAGATCTAATTCATACTAATTAAAACAAAAAAAAATAATGAATAAACCTCCAAGGATAAAAAATTAGCGAAAAAAAAAATGTACCTCATCTGCCTCATCACCCATATTTCGTTTTGAGAATTGCCTAAATGTAATAAGATCATCAACTTGAACTGCTACAGCCGACTTGTCTTTAGCTTTTTTAGCTGCTGTGCGTTTCTATGTTTTATTATAAATAAGAATAAACTTGGGGTAAAATATAAGTACAATAACAAATATTGAATAAAAAAAAGTAAACACCTCTTCAGCTTCAACAATTCTTGCGAAAGCTACCCTGGTATCGTGTAAAAACACATTTTTTATAAAGTTATCAGTTGAAAATTGTTCCAAAATATGAAGACATGACATTATCCTATCGTAAGAATCTTCATCAATTGGATTTGAAGCAAATTGGGATTGACCAACACGAATTACGCTAGTCATTATAAGCATTGCCTAAAGATTAAGGGCAATATATATATATATATTTATATTTATAATCATCCAATTAAAATAAAGTTTATAAGCGTAACAAATTATAACAGTCTCACCTCTGCACGTAATGCATTAGTTTTTTTGGGATCAGTCGAAACTCCAGCATAACGTAGGACCAATTTAGTTAGTGTAGATGCAAGGACAGAACCAAGATAGAAATCTCCACTTAATAATAATGCTAAATTGGAAAATAAAATTTAATCACAATGAATTTATGAATGTGCCAATCAATAATTAGATTTAATTAAAAACCATATAATTACATCTAAGTGGAGGCTTAACGGCCGCCTTAATTGCCTCAAGCTTCGCAAGAGTTGATGAATTTGACGAAAAAGCAGTCTCGGTGGCATAAGTGCCATCGGCAAGAACGCGTCGCGACGAAGAAGTGATAGTTGTTTTATTTTCCGGATTAAGTTCTTCAACTTTATTTTCCTTTTCTGCTTCTTCAAGCAATCGCTGTTAATAATATTTAATAAATAGATACATAATGATGCGACTGACTTCTTACTTAATTTCTTTTTATTTGTAAAAAATAAAAATAAATAAAAATATACGAATATAATTAAATTTCATCGAACCTGTTCAGAAGCTAATATTGGTATTTCTCCAAGTCCAGCTCTGATTTGTTTCCACGCCTCTTCAATATCTAAAATCACGTTTAGTTAATTTATAAAACTATATTAAAAAAATCAACAACAATCAAGATATTAATTACCTTTACAGGTAGAACAATATTCCCCAACGATCCAAAGAGCACCTCTAAACACTTTGCCCGATTTAACATCCATGAAAGTTTCAAGCAATTTTTCTGTAATGGATGATCGCAAATTCGGAAATTTTTCAACTACCTCACTATGAATTAAATAAAATTATTAAATATAATTAAACAGCATGCGATTTTTAGAAAATAGCTCACCGCACAAACGCGATGACGTCTACGGCTGCTGGATTACTAGAGTCTCCTAAGAATTCCATAAGCACATGAACTACATTTGCTGCAACTTCAGAAAATTTAATAGCGCAGCCGTGAATTGACTGGATCAATAGTTGCCTGTATTCGTTATTCTATAAAGAATTTTAAGGGAGATTATTGCTTTATTAAGGAAAAAAGGTAAAAAATGTTAAATTGTAATACCTTTTCATAATCTTGATCAAGAGTCTTACTGAGTTCTTTTTTCAAGAACACCACAACCTCTTGAACGTTTCTACTTGTAACTAATTCTAAAGCAATACGTAATGCTTTGCGTCTAACTTCAATGTCCGGGCTTTATATAAAAATATTCGTGCTTAAATTTAATTATCTAGAGAAATGTTTATTTTTTTTCAAGTATTTCATTTTATTAAATTACGAATACCTAGTTAAGACACGAAGAATATCCAATACTAAATCGTCCAAGGTTTGATCGTGCTTTTCACGTAATTCATCCAAGCGATCCAAAACAATTAGTTTAACATTATTATCTGACTCTTTGATAATAAGTTCGATATAACAAGAAGCGGCAGCTGAAATAATAAATTGAAAATAAATTAATATAATACCCTAAAAAATAATGATGATACATATAATTAACATACCTTTAACAGCGGCGGGTGCATGGGTCAATGCCATTAATGAAGTCGCGGCCTCGTACTTGACGGAATGAGACGCCGCATTCAACAAGTCAAAGATACACCTGATATATTTTCCCTACGCAAATCGTATCCAAATGCCCCGCAAATGTTAACTAAAATTCTGCGTGGGCAATCTACATTATTTGATACACTAAAAATAATATATCACCCTGTTGGTGCTGTTGTTTCTGCAATCCTTCCTGATCAATTCGATTACAGATAACTGCAATAATTCATCAAAATTGGGTACTTGATCGAAAACGTCATTAAGGTATTCTACGGCACGGGCTTGATTGGTATTGCAAAGCATAACGAAAGCGTTACGTTTACAGGTTTGATCGGCTTCCTTTGTAATAAAATGGCGATATACAAACATCAATATTGTTTAAAGAAAATTTACTAGATATCTAAAATAATTCACTCACAGCTGCTAAAAAACTTTGAATTAATTCTGGAGCGTCAGGAATGAGATATTCAAAATGCTTATATATTGTATAAATCGCAAACACTGCATTTTTTCTAACATAAGCATGTCGATGTTCCTATTAATTAAGATTCGAACTATAAATATGAAATTCTACAAATACTCATAACTTTCACAGTTATCATACCAAACATGATCGACAAGATGGCAGCAAGGGCTCTAATAATTCTGGTTCACGCAATTTACAGAGGAATCGAAGTGTTGCACCTCTTATATATTCGTTTGGATGTTGCAAATCATTCCTCAAAGAATTACTTTATAGAATAAAATAATTGTTAAATACAAAATTTTAAGTTAAAATACCTTAATATCATTATATATATATAAGATTTATATATATAAATGTGAAAGGAAATAATTTACCAAACCAAAATCATTTCTTGTTTTAATTTTCCATCAGAATTTGTTTTGGGGCAAATTTCCCAGTAAAAATGAAGCAATTTCTTTAAAATTTTACTTTTTGAAGGCATTACAAAACGAATAACATGCATTAAAATTTGTGGAAGTGGCTCTCCATTAAGCATTGTGACTAAAATTTTTTTCATGGTCTCAATTTTGGCCTCCTCAGAACCCTTTTCGAGAGCCGTTTTGAGCTCCTGCAGGGAAGGTTGATCTGAACTGTCATCCTGGTGAATGATAGTATAACAAGTGTCAGTTGCCATTTTATAAAAATACAATGTGATCTAAGAATAATTTTGGAGAGAAATAAAAATTCTTGAACCCTGAATTTTTTTATCGTGTCACCACTTTTTTGATTGGATAATTCGGTAAAACTTTTTATCTGATGGGATAATTTCATTTGCTGAATATTGGACAACGAAAATCGACGCGTTCATACGAACAATTCAAAAATATGACTGATAAGACTAATGCACGTCCCATTAGAAGATTAGATGAAACAGTTGTAAATCGCATAGCCGCTGGAGAGGTGATGAATTAATTATGATGTTAATTAAAAATATAAATTTTTTTTTGACTAGTACTGAAACAAATATTTTTAGATAATTCATCGTCCTGCAAATGCATTAAAAGAGTTGATTGAAAACTGTTTGGATGCTGGTGCCACAAACATTCAAATTACAATAAAAGATGGAGGACTTAAATTGTTACAAATACTTGATAATGGACACGGAATAAGAGTTAGTCATTACAGTCCTTTATTATATTTCTGAATTTAATTAATTAATTAACGCGGGATTATGTCAAAGAGAGAAGATATGTCCATTGTTTGTGAACGGTTTACAACGAGCAAACTAAAGAAATTTGAAGATTTATCAAATATAAGTACATATGGTTTTCGTGGTGAAGCATTGGCAAGCATAAGTCATGTTGCCCACGTTACAATTACCACCAAGACGTCAGACTCTAACTGTGCTTATAGGTAAATATTATTATATATGAAATGATTTTAATCTGAAGTAATTTATAATTTATAAATTCATTTTAATCGATCGTTAAGGGCTTGTTATTCGGATGGTAAACTTGTTCCTGCAAAACCTGGTATAAGCGCGGAACCAAAGGCATGTGCTGGTAATACCGGAACACAAATTACGGTAAGTATCTTCAATATAAACTTGTTATATTTTTTCTTCAAAAATTAATATCGATGGTATTATTACTTATATAATTTAAACCCTTATGTTAGGCAGAAGACCTTTTTTATAATGTTCCAACGCGTAGGAAAGCCCTGAAGAATCCGAGTGATGAATACAATAGAATTTTAGATGTAGTGAATCGATATGCGATTCATAATTCTGGAGTCAGCTTTACTTGTAAAAAGGTTGGGACAATTATCATATTGATTGCTATCAAAATTTTTAGTAGTAATATAATTTTCTAAATAAAATAGCAAGGTTCAAACCAAGCGGATGTAAACACTTTATCAACATCTTCAACATTAGATAATATCCGTCATATATATGGCAATGTAGCTTCTGAATTGATAGAATTAGGGAAATCTTTTAGAAAACTGGAGTTCAAAGTTAATGGATATATATCCAACGCGAATTACAACCTTAAAAAAATGAATTTTCTTTTGTTTATAAATCGTAAGTAGTCATTCAACTTTGAGTCATTTATGAATTTTTTTTTCTGAAACGTAATAACATTTGATACCTAAATAAAAATAACCAAAGACAGAGCTGTGGAAAATTCATCGCTAAAAAAAACTATTGAAAGTATTTACGCGACTTATTTACCAAAAAGTACTCATCCGTATGTGTATTTAAGTCTGGAGATCAACCCGCAGAATGTTGATGTTAACGTTCATCCAACAAAACGCGAAGTAAACAAATTTTCGTTTAGTATACTTATTTAATTCGATATTTAGATCTAATGGTTTTTTTTGCTGCCTTGATAGGTTAGTTTCTTGAATGAAGATGAAGTCATTGCCGCAATAGGAGATACCATTCAAGAACGTCTCGCTGATGCGAATAGTTCGAGAGTATTTTTGACACAGGTATTCTTTATATACATATATACATATGTATATAATTAATTACATAGCTAATTTCTTCATTGCTTATAGACTTTATTACCTGGAGCTAAAGTCATTGAAGCGAATATGAATCAAGCAGAAAGTTCGATTAAAAAATCAGGTATTCATTTCGATCGGTGGATGTGATATGTTAAAGGATTATGACTTAATTTTATAAATCTAATGAAATAAGGAGTCAAGGTTACAAATTACAAGCTTGTTAGGACAGATAGTCGTGTGCAGACACTTGACAACTTTTTTAACCCTGATGATATGGTTAGTAAGCAACTCGAGGACAATTTAAGAAAAGAAAGAAAAGAGCAATATAAACCTATTCCTTTTAGTAATAGGTAATGTGTTAAATACTGGCTATATTTAATCAATTGTAATTAAGATTTAGATTCATCCTTGAATTTTATAGTTCAAAAGTTACTGCTAATAGTAATATCGTTGGGGGGAAACGCAAACGGGAACGTTTTGAGGTCCGATTGACCAGTATTTTGACCCTACGCAAGCGATTAAAGGAAGTCGAACATAAAGGTATGCTTTATATAATATATTTGCATTTATACGCTGAATTTATGCTCTTGACTAACTCTCTATTTGCATTAGGTCTCACGGAACTACTTGCAAATCACACATTTGTCGGATGTGTTGATGATTCTTTAACTCTAGCACTGGTACAACATCAAACAAAACTATATATGATTAATTACAATACTCTCAGGTATTACGAAACATATGGTAAATTATTATTATTACAAGATCAAGATGAACTAATAAAGATTTTATATTTAGTGAAGAATTGTTTTATCAATTGACTCTCTTAGAATTTCATAATTTCGGGTTTATTCATTTGTCTATACCTGCTCCAATACGCGAACTTATAATTTTCGCTTTGGAATCATGTGATCACGACGAGCTTGAAGATTTGAAATCAAATGAAGAAATCGCTCAAGTAAATTTTTCTATAAACAAAATACTGTTAACATCAAAAGAAATTAAAGATATTAACGATTATAATATATGTATATAGATAATTGTCGACCAATTAATTACGCGAAAAGAAATGTTGATGGAATATTTCTCGATTACTATAACAGAGAATGGAGAATTAACTACTTTGCCTCTAATGCTAAAAGGATATGCACCAAATTTAGATAAACTTCCAACATTTTTGCTACGTTTGGGAACTGAGGTATTGAATACAACCTTGCTTTTTTTTTCATATATAGTTATTTATAGTTTATTATCAGGTTAGTTATGCTTTTATTAAAAAATTCTTTCATTTAAAGGTTGATTGGGAAACTGAAATTGGATGCTTCGAAACTCTTGCTCGTGAAATTGGATTATTTTATGCAACTGAACCACCAAACTTTTCAAACATTTCAACATCTGTTAGCGATAAAGATGATATTTCAATAGATGACATGAGCGCATCTAATATAAACAAGAATGCATCATTATCGTCGCCAGGGAAAAGTTCTGAAAAAGAAACAAATTTGATTTTTACGGAACAACAAAAAAAAGCAGAGATCGCAAGATATAAATGGCAAGTTGAACATTTAATTTTTCCAATTTTAAAAAGTCAATTTCTTGCTCCGAAAAGTGCTGCAGAAAATGGGCATGTACTTCAAATAGCTAATTTACCAGACTTGTATCGTATATTTGAACGCTGTTGAAAAACTATTAATTGCACTCTAAACTAATATGTATATAATAATAGTAATAATAATAATAAATAAAATAAAATTGATTAACAATAGTATTATAATACGTACATATATTTTACCTATCAAGAATTTTCAATTCAATTATTACGCATAACTCGATCTTTTTTTTCATAGAATATGATTTTATTATAGTATAATTAATTATGTATTTGGTATGTCTTCTCTACTGCTTAGTATTGATATTATAAATAAAGTTATTTTATCATTTAAAATTCAATAGTTTTATTTAATTCAGAGCGTTAGCGTAGTTATTAGACCGGAACGAAGTGAAGGACTATATGTACAGGTCTAAGGTTACATGAGATGTCCCATTGTCCACCCGCTCAATAATTGAGTCAGTGCTAATTGGCTCTTGCAATTGCACAAAAGTCTGGATTATATTTTTTTAATAGTTCCCATTCCCCTAACCTACGTTAAACACTTGTTACTACACATGAAACAAAGTAACCCTATATCCAATAATTAGGAAGGTGTTCATAATCAATTTCATATGATGTCACCTTGATCAAAACCTCTATCATGTGAGCTGCTGTCATTGTTATAGATCACTGAATGGAGCTAGATATATCTATTGCATTACCCCATTCAGTTCAAATGGATCTTATGAATTTTACTATCAAATTAGAATAAGGAATTACTTCAACTATAAAGCCTGTTACACCTAGTACTTAAAATAAAATTGAGTTTTACCAACTAAGGATAATTTTCCTTCATTATCAAAATCCAAAAATTCCTGCTGAATTTTATTAAGAGTTAATTCTATTATTGGATCTATATCAGATATTTAAATTATTTTCATTGAAAAATCTTACTATAAAGTTGAAAAATATCCAAGAATATCTTATAAATAATAGAGAAAAGCAAGAAGTTTCCAATTACAGATTTCTGTTGTCAACAGAGCGATTGACCAGTCATAATGAAGTCACGTGGATGACGCAGTATGACGATCTTTTAATCCAGAATTCTGAGAATACTGAGA